AGTCCGAGTGTCAGTGAATCTGAGGGTGAGAGTCTGAATATGAGTGAGTCTGAATATGAACGGGTTACGAGTGAGGAAGAGGAGGAGGGATGGTTCTGTTCCTTCCTTCCTGAGGACGCGTGTGCGTCCGTGTAATAACAAGAATCGCATCTCAGGATATGGCGAAGGCAATCTCCGAATTTGCTTGTATGTGTGAAAACGTTCCTTACGGATTTTGATCCGTCAGATGCAGCCAAACCCGAGCTTTGAAGCTGACCCTGAAGCCCTTCGACTGCGAGGCGGTGGTGGCCGGCTGGAGCGACGCAGCGTGGGCCGACGGGCCCGATGGACGCTCGACGGGAGCCTGCGCGATCGGCAGCGCGCCCGCCCACAGTGGGAGGCTGCAGGGAGTCGAGCGGAAAGCTCCCATCCGGCCGAGGGTACAGGCGCTGACCGCCTCAGGGGACGGGCTACTCCTGAAACGCGTGAGATTGTGCTGAGCTCATGGGCCTCGCATCAGACGCGGCGGCTGCTACTGGCAGTGGCGAACGAGCGTTGGGGCCCACTCGGAGCGTGCGCGCAGGCCAGTGCGAATGCGAGGGGAATCTGCGATCGCCTGGCGAAGCAGGGGAAGGTGCACACGCAGTCTCGCCGAGTGGCGAAAAGCCTTCGAGCTCATGGCGTTCGAGCGGAGCATCCGGGAGGCAGGCTTGGAGCGGGTGCAGATGCAACGTCTCGCCAAGAAGCGGACATCCCCCGAGCTCAAGGCGTTTGAGCGTTGCATCCATGAGACGGCCCTGTTCGTGCGGTGGTGCCGCACGGAGGCCAATCTCGGCGACAGCTTGACCTGGGTAGCCCGTACCAGCATGTCGATCAACCAGTTCGGGCGGGGTGCTGAGCAACTGAGCGCCAAGAAGCGTAAAGAGCGCGGCTGGTACGGTTCGAAACGAATCGCTGTACGGTCCTCGCTGGCCTCATCCGTGACGCCTTTAAACATGCCAATGTAAGATTGCCAGGTGATGGGGTGCACGGATGTGAGGTGCATGTGTGTGTGTGGTGTGTGTGTGTGTGCTGTGCGTTGTGTGTGTTGTGTGTGTGTGTGTGTGTGCGTGCGTGTGTGCGTGCGTGCGTGCGTGCGTGCGTCCGTGCTTGCGTGTGTGCGAGCGTGCGCGAGCGTAAGCGTGAGCGTGATCGTGCGCGTTCGTGTGTGTTTAATTTTATGTGTGTGCGTTGTGTGTGTGTTGTGTTGTGTTGTGTGTGAGTGCGTCCGTGCTTGCGCGTGTGCGTGCGTGCGCGAGCGTAAGCGTGAGCGTGATCGTGCGCGTTCGTGTGTGTGTGTGTGACTGTGTGTATGCGTGCGTGTGTGCGCGTGCGTGCGTGCGTGCGTGCGTGCGTGCGTGCGTGCGTGTGTGTGTGTGTGTGTGTGTGTGTGTGTGTGTGTGTGTGTGTGTGAGTGCGTGTGGGTGTGTCAAGCCTTTCCGGCACGTTCGCTTCGTGCGTCCGAAGCCCCCGTCGTGGCAGAGGGGCGGAGCGCAGGGGCCACCCGTAAATTCTCGGGGGCAGACGGCCGCCTTCACGTTTGCCTGCTGCTCCGAAGCCCGTCCCTGCTGGAACGTCCAGGGCAGTGTTTAATACATGGGGATGTTTAAACATAGGATGTTTAACCCATGATTCATGTATAACATATATATATATGTGCATGAGCTCGTCGTTGGTTTTAATGGTGCATCCCTGCACTTTTAATACATGATCCGCACGCGGAGCGTGTATTAAAAAACGGCACTGTCCTCTTTGATGCTCGTGTGGACGGTATTTCGAGTGGCTTGCTGGCTCCAGACTCCAGAGAGCCAGCGACACTGTGCTAGCCACTTGTTTTGGATTCGCGGGTCGAGAGCGCACCTCTTCCGGACTGTGCTAGCCACAAGCATCGCAACAACATTGTATGACAAGCAATGCCAGCCGTCAAGAACGGGCAAGCCCTGGAGTGCGCTGTCGTAGACAGGCTGGTGAGCAGGGGAGAAAGAGAGAAAGAGAGAGAGAGAGAGACGCGGCCTGACAGTTGATGTGGGGCAGAAAGGTGGTATATTCACGGGCCGCATCATACTCATCAAGATACATCGGCACCGACGTCATTGTCACCAGCGCCATCTGCGAATCTGCATGCCACCCCTCCGCTGCGAATCTGCATGCCACCCCTCCGCCCCCCTTCCTCCCCACTCGGGCGGACGCAGGCAGACCTGTATCGGCGAGGGGCCAGGTCTGGCTGGATGCTTGGGTGTCCAGCTTGGGCTTCCCGTCGCGCCCTGGCGACCAAATCCCGTTCACGTCGACAGCTCGGGCGGTGGGTAGTGGAGGTAACCTCAATGAAGGGTGGAGATGAAGACCCAAAAGGGGGGCCCCTGAGGGCCCTTGTAGGCCCCTGCAGGCTCCCAAAGGGCCCTAGCAGGCCCCATATAGGGCCGTCTTGTTCTTCACTCTTATTTAGGCCACCCCCCATTACCACCCGCCCGAGAGTCTGAGTGGAGAGGCCTTGAGGAGGTACTTGCCTCCTTTGAGGTATCGGTGCATTTTCCTCCTCTGAGGTTCGAGGCTCGTGGAGAGGACGCGGCTGAGGGCAGCGGAGCGCCGAGGGCGGCACAGGCGTCACCAGCGTCGCGTCGGAGGCCCCGGGAGCGCCGCGAGACAGTCGCCTCACAAAGAGCACCGAGATCGGGCGTTGCCCAGAAGTGCTCCTGGCCCAAGGTGCCCCCAGGATTCCCAAGGGGCCCCAACGGCCTCCAGAGAACCCCTCTGGAGGCTCAGAGGTCCCCAGGGGCTCCAAAATAAACCGGCAAGCTGGGGGGACATTGGGCCAGGGGCACCTCTGGCAACCCCGCACGAGTTGGCTCTGAGGGGCCTCAGCCAAGGCCGTTCTCAGCGACAACAAGATCGAGCACCGATCGAACCGACTGCGAAAACGAAGCCGACCGACATCGACAGGCCACGTACAGCCCAGAAGGGCGAAGCAACGCGCGGCAACGACGCACTCACCGACCGCACCGAACCTACCGAACGCAACCGACTGCGACGCGGCCGAACCGACAAGACCGAACCCACCGAACGCAACCGACTGCGACGCAGCCGAACCGACCGAACCGAGAACACCCTTGGCGACGCCCTCCTCCTCCCTCCTCCCTCTCCTCTT